ATAAGAGTGGGTGTTTCCTACCATTATCAACTCCATGTTTAGAGCTCTGATACAAAACATGATCATATATCTTTTTATTTGACATTTCAATTCCTTTTTTGGCATTTTCATCTAACAAACTTTGTATGCATTCCTGCAATACATATGTAATATGCTAGTTATCCTTTCTTCTTCCAAAAAAAAATAAAAAAATTATGAGTACATGTTTTTTTCATCCACCAAATGCAGCGTGTACCCTATTTGCTTAATAGAATTTAGATAGGTGAAGTCATCTTATTTTCATCCACCAATTGCAACGTGTACCCTAGCTACTTAATAGGATTTAGATGGATGAAATCATCTGTGAGCACATCATCTTCCCCAAAAAAAGGCAAGAAAAGTAGATGACACCATATTAGAATATTACATAGGGACCGATCGGCCTCCCATGCCGATTGGTCTCTATAGTACTTTTTAATTTTTGTTTCTTATATTTAAAAAAAAAAAATCTAAACATTAGAAAATATATAACTAAAAAATTTAAATCCAAATATCGTAAAAATAACTATATATAAAATATATTCAAAACTTACTCCAATTAATTTTGATTGTGGATCTGTCCACACAAAATTTCTTTTTCTACCTCTTGAGAATGTTAACGTAACCAAACCTCTGCAGGAGATAACTTTGTCTTCTTTATAGGATCACTCTATTAATACATAAGTAACAATAACAGAATATTAGTCAAAAAAATAATAAAACAAGTAATAACTCATTTGTTTTTTTTTTTTTAAAGGCAAAAGCATTTATTAATTCTGGAATACAGGGGGTATTCCAACCCTTTACTTACAATAAAATCAGCAAATTACAAAAATATTCTTATTCACCGACTTCTATAAAAGAGCAGCACAACCGTAAAGTCCCAGAAAAGTCCATTAAAGAGAACCCATCCATTCCTGCAATGTTTTTTGCCCAGTAAAAAGATTGAGTTTGAACTAGCTCAAAAAAATTATCTGCCTTTGCTTCCTTGGCATTGAAAATCATGTCATTCCTACCTAGCCAAAGTGTCTGTACTACTGCAAACCAGATGATATTCCACCCTTTATCTAGTGATTTTGGGCCCCCATTCCACTTGTGTTGTTCCAAAACCATCATACATGAATTATCTAACACATATTGCTTGCCCCACCACTTGTAGCATTTCATCCATAAGCTGGAAGCCAAGTTACTATTAACAAGCAAGTGGTTGGGTGTTTCAATTGATGTATTACACCAACAGCATCTTAGATTGTTATGATCAGTTAAGATTCCATGAGTTGCTAAATTATCTTTTGTAGGGAGTTTCTTGTGAAGTAATTGCCAACAAAAAGCACTTACTTTAGGTGGAATGGGGGCCTTCCACATCCTTTTGAAGTCAGCTATAGGCCTAGTGTCGCCCTTTAGGAGTTAAGAATATGCTGACTTGGTTGTGTAGTTTCCTAAGGGTTCTGGTTGCCACCACCATTGGTCTTTTTTGTTCTGTATTGGGTGAGCTGTCTTGAGCGTCTCCATAAGTTCTATTTCCAAGTCTTCCTCCCACGAACGCAATTGATGTTTCCATAATAATTTCCATTGCCAGCTTCCATTCATCTAGGTTCCCATGTCTTTCACATTGAAATTTTCACCTGTGGATAACAAAAACAAGCATGGAAATTTGTTAGATAGTGCACTCCCTCCTACCCATTCATCCGACCAGAATTTTATGTTTCTGCCATCCCCTAATTTCACTTCAAATCCTGAGCTCAACCAACTATTCTTTAACCCCACCCCTTCATCTATTTTGCAAACATCCCTCCACCATCTTGAACCTTGAGATCTACCCTCCTTTAGATAGGATAGCCAATTCCCTTCTTTATTCCCATATTTTTCGAATAACACTCTTCTCCACAAACACCCTTTCTCCATGAGCAGTCTTCCCCACCATTTTCCTAATAATAACATATTAAAACATGATAGATTTTTAATACCCAAACCCCCTTCGAGCTTATTTTTACATATCTTCTCCCATGCTACCCATGCAACTTTTTTCCTCTCCCCGACTCCCCCCATAAAAATCTTCTCCTAATTTGTTAATAATCAATCTATAGAGTTCCACGATGTGAGTCAACTGGGAAGATGCACTAGTTTTCATATAGCGTGATATGTAGAATGTAATATCTATGTATTCAGGTTTACTTATAATTCAAACCAACTTTTGCAGTCCCAACGTGAATCTTTCCTTGTAACTGTTATGTTTAATTACTAGTTCAAATCAATCTACTACCAGATCAATATGATGCCTTTCAAGTTATGATGTTTATGGGTTTGGGGTACCCCTTGTACTCCATTTATTAATAAATAAATATTATTTTTTGCTGTTCAAAAAAAAAAAATCTACTACCAGATCATATGATTAATAATAACTTCTATTAATACATAAATAATAATAACATAATATTAGTCAAAAAATGATAACAATAACTTCTACTAGTTGCATCATTTGTTATCTTCTTTACAGGGTCACCTTATTAATACATAAATAACAATAACTGAATATTAGTCAAAAAATAATAAAACAAGTAATAAGTCATTTGTTAATAATCAATCTATAGATTACTCAATTCAATAGAGAGCTTACCAATCTAGCTTCAAATTCCTCAAACGATACATTACCGGTGGTGTGAATTTTTTTCCTCTTTTTGACATTATTGGAATTTCGCTTGCTTTTTTTCTATATAAAATAAAATAGATTAGAATATCATTGTCAATATTTGGTGTTTTTAATTTAATAATATTCAATAAATATTGTTATTACCTAAAATGCTTCAGAGCCAAAGTATGCAACACAGTAAGTCCATTGTTCTTTAGATATCCCTTCTGAACAATTATCTAATCTTTTTGCATTATTGTTGTATTTCTTATAAAGATTATACAGCTTATTCCTTCATCCCCTATACTGATTCCCCATAGTTTTAACACAAAAATCAACCAATTTCTCTGAATTCTAGGAAATTCAAATTTTTCCTAAAAAACAAAATTAATAACTCATGAATTATTTCATGCAATCATAATTAAAAGAAGTTATATATATATAAATTTAACATAACTATTGTAACAGTACCTTAATTTGACTTAACATTTGATCACCTACTAATGTGAACGCCTCTTCCAAATTATTAACATTCAGAGGGGCTGTGTTTCTCACTACAAGCCCACACATCTTTGCCAAGTCACGAGCATGCTCTCCAACTGGGGTAAGTTCTTGAATATAATATGTTTGAATATAATATGTCAAATTTAGATATGTCTTCCACAATATAATATGGCAATGACGGTATTGGATAGGTTCTTGAACTTCTATTATTTTCGCAATTGAGAATTTAAGATCCAAAGTTTTACTGTATTCGAATGAGGTCTTAAAATTATTAAAATTATCTAATAAAGTCTCAATTAGATGAAAATTGTTTGGTTTATTAAATTATTCACTATTAACTCTAATCGGTTAAATATCTTCATAACTTTTTTATTTTATCTTTTGTTAGTTTTAAAACTTTTAATAACCTCAAGATGATCCTTAAGCTTATTTGTTTTGTAGATGTGTCTATTTTGCAAGAATCACAACTAAAAATCAATTTTTATGGTATTAAATATTAATTTTTAATTTGAATTTTATGTGATTTATGTGGCTTATTATAAAAAAAATTACATTATTATTTTTAGAACTTTAACAAACAAAATACGTCAATTAGATGAAAAAAAGAAATGGAACGAAGGAAAGAGGAGGGGAGGATGGAGAAAGAAGATGGAGGCATTATCGAGATTTCAAAATTTCATCACATTTTTACAGTAAAAATAAAAGTAAAAGATGAAGTTAGTTATTTATTTATTTATTTATTTATTTTGAAAATTGAGGTGGGATTCGAACTAGCTCCATACTAAGTCACATATATAAAAAGTCTTTTATAAGAGAGAGGTAACCACAGGACTAAAAAGGATGTTTTCACAAAAAAATGAAGTTATATAATTAATTAATAAACTAAAATATAAACTTTTAGGTTAATGGTTTGTAAAATATGGTGAAATTTGATCACTTCCATTGCTTTTTTTTTTTTTTTTGATAAATACTTCCATTGCTTTTAGAAACTATACATACCGAGATTGTTATATTGTAATATTATATGATATTATAAATTTATAATATG